CAAATATTCTTCAAATAAGTCAACCGTTGTGCATTAAATGCACCCTCACAGCCGGCTATAAAGTTGGAGCCGGCTTTGCGTCTTTTCTCCTCGCGCGCCAAGCAACAGTCTTCAAATTTTTGCCTGTACAGCCGGCTGCAGCTTTTAGAGCCGGCTCTTTGCACTTCCATTTCACCAGAGCCGGCTGCAGCTTTTAAGAGCCGGCTCTCTGCACATTTTGAATCATTTTGGTCTATTTTTAGTGCAATCCAAGTTTACTTGCAATCTTTTAACAACTTAATTACACACTTAAATAAACCAATTAGTCATTCAAATGTGTTTTGTAATCATCAAAATCATAGGTACAACACGCTTTAGGTTTTTGCACAATTGTTATCTGTTAACCTTTTTATGCACTTTTTTATCTTTCAACTATGAAAAATGCATTTTTTAAGTCCTTTTATTTGTTAGTTTGTTAAATATAGTTAAATATACATATTTTTAGTCCTTTAACTTATAATATATACACATTTTTAGTCTGTTAACTTATAATATATAATATAAAGTTGAGGGCTAAAAAATATGTATATTTGGATATACTTAATAGACTAATTGATAGACAAACTAAAAAAGTGCATTTTTTCATAGTTAAGGGCCACAAAAGTGCATAAAAAATTTTGAGATGAAAACTATGAAAAACCCTAAAGTTGAGGAACTAAAATTGGTATTTAACCATATGTAAACCTTGACTTACATTTCTCTACATTAATGTATCATAATTTCCTCTTTATCTCTAAAATATGTATAGTGTTGTATGAACTATGTTCTCTACTAGTTTTATTATTTTTTTATGATTTTTTTTTTTATAAAACATATGATGATTGTTCTTTTGAAAGAATTTCATAGCTCTATCTTTTTGAAATTTATTCATCCATTTCTTTTTAGATTATAAATGGTTTGAAACTTTTTTTTCCCTGTGTGTGTCCAGGAGAGAACCCTACTTATGGGATGGGAATCAATCAGAGTAATAATAGTATTAATTCATACAATGAATTGAACAAAAAAAGCATGAATTGAATAAAAAATCAAGTCATATCAAAATAGTGTTTTTTTTAGCAAGAAATATTATATTTTTTATTTTATTTATATTATACTATTGTTAACTTATTGGTAATTTTAAATATAAATTTTACTTCATATTCCTTCTAAAATGATGAAAAGGGCAAATTAGCCCTTGCAGTAAAAACGGAGGCTTTTAAAACCTTGAACTCTTCGAATGGTGGCAAAGATCCCCTTTTGTGACAGATTTGGTGAAATTTAACGGATAACTCGTTTTGGTGGGTCCATGGCTAATGCTTGCATGGCAT